CACCTGATACATGCCAACCTTACAGTTTTACTGGCAGACCAATTATGCAAGGAACCCAGACTACTGCAACAGCGGCAGATGAACAGAGTCTACATCATCCTAATCAATAAACAACCTCTTCTGCATTCTTTATTCCTTATCCCACCCTGCACATCAATTGCTCTGACTGGATGGCTGATTCCTTAAGATCTTATGTAGCTTTGAAACCTGCATAAGTGAGAAGTTCTGTGTGAACCTTTCTCTCTTCTCCAATGTGTTGAAAACACCCTCAATCCCAGAAGCAACTACTCAAGGATTAAAAGAAGGAGAGCCCACAGAATCAGATTAAAGGCCTTATTAGTTCATCCTGTACCCCACAATGGTCAAGTAAATGTCTCTATAAAGTACACAAACCAGGCAGGAGAGCAATCATATTGTCCCATTGTTGTTCCTCAAGAATCAGTATTTGGAGATTTGGTGCCTCTGGTTGTGGGGGCATTACGTGTCCTAGCAGGGCTGGTCGCTACTGGCAGTCCTTCCATGAAGGCATAGCTTTTCTGTTTGGGGTACTCAGTGACCAACTCAAGCCCAAACATGGACTTTTTCAGATAACCTCTAAATGACAACAGTGATAACATTTCTATTTCAAGCAGATGTTTGGTTTGATTTCTTGCCAACTTATTCACCCTCCATTTCATTTTGATGAATTGGGATTTGCAATTGCTGTTATGCTAATGCTGTTAAGGTAACCTGCAACATTAACTTCCACTGAGAAATAAAAGTGGCCATCTATTAATAACGAAAGGAAAATTAATGTGTCTATACCAGCGTATGAGCTTCACACTTCACAGACAGATGCTTACCTAATGTAAAAGCTTGGATGGCCTGATTTTTACATTTTAATACCAGCTTCCTCTTTGCCATGATGGGATGAAAAAGAAAGGAAAAGTGGGAAGGAGTTATTTGCAATATATATTTAAACCGGAGACTACAGCAGTACAATGGAGGGAGGAATGGTTACCATGGTAACTATTCTAGTCAGAGGAAATAATACCACATCGTCGCTCAATAGCAACCAAAATGCTAATTTCAGCACCTGATATTTGTGTGCATTTCTGATTGCTATTCAATTATGTCTGAATAGAGACATCATTAATAACTGCTCTATTTTGCAGCTCGAAACAGCAGCCTGAATGGTTAACTACACACAGTGACTGACATATTTTCAGGTTCCTTTAAGCATCCTACAAACCCCCTGCTGCTTGGCATAGCTCTAATACATCCTTACTGGGCTGCAAAGCATAGGTTTTCAAATATTTTCTCATTACTCCTGTGTTTTCTGGCAGATCCTGCTGTGAGGTAAAGTGGGCTAGGAAGAGTGTGACTGACCATGAAAGACATACCCAGCACAGACAGGGGTCTCAAGTTAGCAGCCAGCTATATATCTTCAACCCTAACCAGAGCTGAGAGTACAGCGCGGGAGAAAAACAAATAATGTATTTCATCGTCTCGAGTTTCTTTTCCATAAAGGACAGGCTCTTGCAGTGACTTACTTTTATGTTGAAATGTAAACATAAATGGTAAAATGGTGAGGATTATGAATAAATAAAGTGAAAAAACATCTGCTGGTCAGTTTCAGGGAATCCAACAGAAACTCCTTAAAAACCCGGCTAATATGCATGCCTGTAACCAAATCATTTTTTTTAAAGTCAAAGCTGTATTATTTTATATTTCAGGATTCTCAAACAAGAATGATGGAAGTAATTCGGAACTGCCTTCCTTCCTTTTTTTTTTCTTTTCTTTTTGCTGTAGACTTTATTTATGGGAAAATTTCACTGGAAAGGCCCTAAACCAGGTCAAGATGAAATGATAAATGGGCATTGTAAAGCACATGAAAAAACACTTCCCTCTTCTAGAAGGAAGAGCACGTCATGCCCTGCACTAGATCCGGATCCTAGAAAGCCTCAGTGAGAAATAATGGACTTTTAGAGATGCTCTTGATGTGTGGAGGGGTCATATCATATAAGAGAAGGGAGGAAAATGCTCCCTCTGGTGGCCCCCCACATGGCCCCAGTGAAGATGCTAAAGCAATTTTCAGAAGCTGAAAAATCCCCATGCCTTGCCTTAAAAGTAGTGGAACTTTACTGGTATACATAGGCCAAAAATAAATAATAAAATAAATCAAGGCCCCATGCATAAAAAGCAACTCGTTTTAATCTATTTTAAAAAATCTGATTATACACAGAAGATAATTTTATCCTTCAAGGAATACTGATGACACTTTGGAAACATCTAAGAGAGGCTCAGTATATACTATTTCTGTACCTCTCTTCACAGACATGCCAAAGAACTTGAATTTAATTGATCTGGACAGGTAGGTAAGAGAAATCCTTTTTTAAGGAAGACATTCTGTATGTGTGATGGAATGGAATTATGAAGGCCACACTCAGGGAGGCAAGCATCCTCTTTCGTTTCCAGAAGGGCGAGGAAGAGATAAGAGGATGAGGCTGGCACCTCCCTGAGGAATTCACTCTGTTTTCATAGCTACTGTGGGAACAGAGTTTCAGTCAACTAATCTGACATAAAACCTGAATGCAATAAAAACTAATCTGACATAAAACCTGAATGCAATAAAAACTAATCTGACATAAAACCTGAATGCAATAAAAACTAATCTGACATAAAACCTGAATGCAATAAAGTAGCTAATAAACATTGCTGAACAGAATTTGCATGGTCTCCTGGAGTTCCTCGGGCTAGGCCTGACAGTATGGTGACATCCAGTTCAGAGATTGAACTGGACTCTCGTCTGGAGTCTCTCTAGATTTTAAAGAGTGCTCTTTCTTCTAATTACCCTAAAAGTACTTCATCTTTTTATGGATTTTAATGGATGGTTTTTATTGAACTACACTACATTTATATTACTCTATTTTTAAATTAATTTTTCTTTTAAACTAATCTGACATAAAACCTGAATGCAATAAAAGAATGTTGGAAAAAACAGTCATGGAAACTAGAGAAATTTCCCTGAGAAAGCCTTGGGTTTTATTCTTGGCAGTATAATGTCCTGACTCAAAAGATAAACTACAAAACATAACAGACTTGTAAAAAATTACTTATTAGAACAAGATTATTCTTAACAGTATTCCAAATTTACTCTTGTCCCCCAAATGCTAATTCTAACCACATTGCAATTTACCTCTGTGATTTGCCATTTCGTCAAGCTCCAACATAAATGAACAGGGGCCGAAAAGACGTAAAGAAATAAAAGATTTCACTTTGTGATTTCAGGGGCAGAGGAAAGGTGAGAAAGAAGCTGAACGTTAAAATGTTGTATTTTACAGGCTGTATTTGTAAACAGATTATGATCTGACTTTACCAAACATTGCTCTACAATGTACTTATTTGCACACATATACTTAGTTTTGTTGCCAAGCTAGAGAAATGATTTTCAAATAAAGCTGCACATGATTTTTGTAAACCTTAGTTTGTTCTCAGTGTTCAGCACCGCATTTGCTTAAGCTGCTCAACAGCATTTTGTCAGTCTCAGAAAAAATTAAGAGGAAGTCTCTATATATCCTCTGCGGTTCTCTACTTTATTTCTTTACTTTACTACTTCGTAATTGGGATTGTGTATATATACCCACAACTAGAAGAAGATAAAGGAGTAGGTATCCTTACTGACAAATACAGTTTATTATGACAACTGTTTATTGTAAGGCTTCAAATACAGTGGAAGCCAAAGGTCCATTGTACAGTAGTTCCTTTAATCAACAATAGTCACCATCTTCATAATAGAAACAAAGGAGCTTCTTCTAATGTTGTTCCTTTTAGGTCCTCCAGCAAACCTTAATTCTCAATTCACTACAGGATTGTTAAATCTATTATCGCATGAAGGAGGAATATAGGACCATGTTTCTCTCAAGGCTCTTTAGGTGGGAGGACCATGAAGCCCAGTGCATGAGAGAGAGTCATCCAACTTGCCCACTGGAACACCATTTGCCTCTGAGATTAGATTGGCCCCAACCCTGCCAGCCTTTCAGAAGGCTCTTAAGATATGGTTGGATTCCTAGGCATGGGGTTCGGAGTGTTACTGGGAGCCCCTGATGTGCTACGTTGTTTAGACTGGTTTGATCTCTTGGCTGCTATGTCTGTTGATGGGTTTTATGTTGTTTTGTATTGTTTTTATTGGCTGTAAGCTATCCAGAGATGGGTGGCTATATAAATTGAAGAAAAAACCAACCAACCAACAAAGAAATAAAGTCAGTGTTCCAGGACAATGTCTCTCGCGCCTTCAAGTCAGTCTTGACTCCTGGTGACTGCCTGGAAAAGTCTCTGCAATTTTCATGGCAATGTTTTTGGAAATGGTTTGCCACTGCCTGCTTCCCAGGGCTGAGAGTAAGTGACTGGCCCAAGGTTACCCAGCTGGCTTTGTGCCTAAGACAAGACTAGAACTGACAATCTCCTAATTTCTAGCCTGGTGCTTTAATCACTACACCAAACTAACTGTCCTCCTCACATTATCCGTGTCTTAATCTTAATCAGTTAATTTTCTGTTGTTATTGTCACAAGGTTAAAACAAACAAACCCGGAAACGTGATCACCAAAAGATCTCATGGAAGGAAAATAATTATCAACACTTCCATCATAATTAACTCATCTAATATGTTCTCATTCCAAAATGAAAGTAGATATGAAGATTGAGAGAAAATGAAAACACTGAACAAGCTAGATAGGAACAAGAAACAATATGCCAACAAAGATACAAAATGTTGTCTTCTGTTTTGTAACTATTTGAAAAGGAAGTGCTTTGGAATTTCAGAGTTTTGCTCCCAACAGAAGAAAAAACAATTCTGGTGCACAATAGGGTTAATGATTATTCTGTTATCTTAGAAAACAGTACTGTTAATAACTATGTTTTTTATAGCATCTGAATTTAGATAAGCTCATACTACATTCTGGTCCTAAGTTTACTTTTTGAAAACCTCCACTGTTTTCCAAATATTATAATGAAAACTTACATGGGAACATTTCTCCAACACTTCCTCTTTGAACTGTAGAAACTTCTCTTGGATTGCAGGCTGGTTGAGTGCAAATGACAGAAAATGTGTGAAGGGCTGCTTTTTACGGAAGCTTTCAACAAGAACATCAATTCGTGTCCGCGCTGAAATAACACCATTCCGATGTTGTCCTGTGATCACTGGAAGCAAAGAAAATAATAAGGCAGGATATATGCTAAGGTGCTTCAATTTCCCCCTAGAAAGCTAAGAACAGCTGTTTCTTGCTGTACTCATAACCCAGTTAACAAGATGGCTGCTAACTTTACAGAATACAAGGGACAACATAAGCATTGGAGTGAGGGCTCCCAAAGTGTAAGATCCATCTCTCCAAGAAGGAGTAAATCATTGTTAGAGGAGACAATGTTGCTTTTTGAGCCTCACATCCCAACTTTGTTTGATTTACGTCCTGTCTTTCCTACCAGAAATTAAGATGATGTACATAGCATTTCCTCTTCCAATTATCCTCACAACAATCCTATGACACAGGTTGGGCTGAGTGAGCATCTGGCCCAAAGTCTCCCCATAAGTTTCTGTGGTTCAGGATGGACTAATCTGGCTCTCTAAAATTCCAGTCCAGCCCCTTAGTTATTGCAGCACACTGCCTTCTGTGTACAATTAAAAATATGCATATAACTTGATTTGCTACACAGAAATCCAACCCTACCCTAACATAAATACCTTGAATTGTTGCTTGTTGCTAAGGAACAATAGAATAGTTCCCCTTTTCCCAGCAGAATACAGAGATAAATTAAAACTTCCTGTAAGCCTACAATATTCTTCTTCCAAGTCTGAGCCATTACAACTGACCTATTTTATTTATTCATTCATTCATTCATTCATTCATTCATTCATTCATTCATTCATTCATTCATTCATTCATTCATTCATTCATTCATTCATTCATTCATTCATTCATTCATTCATTCATTCATTCATTCATTCATTCATTCATTCATTCATTCATTCATTCATTCATTCATTCATTCATTCATTCATTCATTCATTCATTCATTCATTCATTCATTCATTCATTCATTCATTCATTCATTCATTCATTCATTCATTCATTCATTCATTCATTCATTCATTCATTCATTCATTCATTTATTTATTTATTTATTTAATTTATTTATTTTATATAGCTGCTCATCTCACTAAACCATTAAAAGCTATAGAGTACAATTACACTACATGCACAAAGTACTATACAAATGTTGCTCCAACCCCCTCAAATGAGAGCACCAGTATGGTGTAATGGTGAAAATGCTGAGCTAGGAGCTGGGAGACCAAGTTTTGGTTCACCCTCAGCCATGGAAGCTCATGGAGTAACTCTGGGCTATTCATTCCGTCACTCCACTCAGCTTAGCTCACAGGATTATTGTGCAGAAAGATAGGAGGAGGTGTGCTTCATATGCTGCCTTATGTCCTTGAAAGAAAGGCATATTCTAAATGTAATATATAAATGAATATTAATTTACTTGGAGACTAATAAGAATCAGTTTACTTAGACGTTAATGAGTACTAAACTCCAGTGATTAAAATATTCCATCACCCTTGTTCATACAACTTTTAATTCTCCTGGAACAATTTTTATTTTCACAATGGTATCCAGAAGGTGGGGCTGTTTGATAACTAGGCTAATAACTTATGGTGTCCCATGTGGATCTATGCAATTTCTACATGAAACTCTAGGGGGTAGCATTAATCCAGAGCTCTGGAGAGAGAGATGTATCTTGATGACACCCAACTCTATGTTCCTTGACATCCCACTCAAAGGAGCAGCACTGTTTAAACTTGATAATAGGCTGGCTAAGCACAAGCTAAAATTACATGTAGACAAGACAGGGATGCTCTTAGCCAATAGGAAAATAGATTCAGAGACTGAGGCTTACCCTGCACTGGACAGAAATGTACTTGCCTTGGAAGAAAAGGTCCACAGGAAGTCCACAATTTGAAAGTACACCTTAATCTTCAGCTGTCACTTTTTTTCAAGTGGCAGCATTTGTACAGTTATGACTATAGTACACTTACCTGCACCTTCATTACATCTTGTCTTGAAGGCTGCTCCCTGTTCTATAGGGTGCTATGCCTGAAGACTGCCTAAAAGCTCTAACTGGTACTAAATTTGGTAGCTAGACAAGTAACTGGCAAACAACACGTGATGCCCAACTGCCCACATTAAAATATCTGCACTTAGCAGAGTTCCTCTCTTTTTTTCCTTCCCTCCCCTTCTTGTAACAGCTACCCCTTCCCCTCATCAACCTGTTCTGATAGGGATGTATATACACATACATACAAGAGTGCTATATACTGATATCTACAGGTGAGGGAGGGGAGAAATCTCAAGGTTTGTGAATTGAAAGACTCCCTCCAGTCATGGAAAGTCTTTGTTTCCCATAGGAGAAGAGTGTAGAAATGCTCTTTAATACCCCTTTTGTAGCTCATCTCATACTTGGCCATATATACATACATACATACATACATATATACATACATACATATATCATTACATAATACCAGGATACCTTTATTATTTCCCAGTTTTATATGACCTATGGGCTGCTACGAAAACTCAGAAGGCTATTCATTTTTGCAAACTCAACATCTTACCAATTTCTCCTTCTACACCTGGCTTGGGAATACTGATGGAGGTTCGTGTTTCTGTCTCCAGTTTCTTCTTGGTTTCTCCTTTCTTTCCTATTATATACCTGTAAAGACATTGAGTGGGATAAGGAAGAAAAAGGAGCTAAGGATAACAAGTTAAAATATTATGACATGATCTCATATGTCACAAAAGAAACTGTCCTGTCTATTGTGGGATGAAAGAGCTTAATAAGCACTACAGTACCCATAACTTCCCAATCCTTGGGGCACAGAATGCAACTTGCAACTTGCAACATGCAGTCATGGTTCTAAATTCAAGCTTTAGAAATTATTTTATACCACATTTATTAGTTGGTAGATGAAGCAGGAGAACTTTTTTCTTTCTACCAATTACAGGAAATAGAAGTAAGACCAGGGAAGGCTATAATTGATTATGCGCTGGTTGTAAAATTGACAGACTCCATAAATTTAGCAATGTGAATTTAGGAGCATGGCACAGAGGCAGCAGCCTGAGAAAAACAATGAACAGAAGAAGGAAACAAACAAAATAACCAAGCAATCTAAGGAATGCGGTGTTGGATGTGCAAAGACCAGTGAGTGACCCAATTTGAAACCAAAGCAATCTGGAAGCCAAAACCGCACATCAAGCAAGACTTATTTACCCCCTGCCACAACAGCAGCAACCAGTGGGGCACAGATGAGATGGAAAGGACAAGGACTGGGCAGGAAGCTGATTGGGAAAAAATGGGTAGCTGAAGTTGTGGCTCATTTGTACAGTTATGACTCTATTCTTCTCAGGTTCGTTGACCAGTTGCTTGGTAGTGTTTTGCTGAGTATGTGAGAGAAAAAAGTGGGGGTATGTGAAAGCACTTAAGAGTAAGACTTGGCTATGTTGCCTCAATAAAGCCAGGGGGTTAACAAAGAATTCTTTGTGTGCAGTCTTGGCATTTAGTCTGAATCTCTTGTTTGTCCTCAATCTCACTAAAAGATGTGTGTGGGTATTCCCCATGTAAATGCCTGACCGTTGACCAAGACTACATCTTCAGCAATCTCAAAATGCCCGTTCCTGAGCTGGGGCCATTACAAGGAGGGAGAGCTGGTAACATGTACTTTGGTGGGTGATGCAAGGAAGATTGACTGACTGTAAGTGGGCTGTTAACAAGCTTTCGTTGTAACACATCATAATCGTCCACAGAAGAGCTCAAGGAACTGCAGTGAGAAACGGCAGCCAAAATTAGACAGAAGAAACATTCAATTAAGCAGTCCAAGATTGTCAAAGTGGTTTGGAACAAAAGCCAAACCAAACAGGCAAAAGCACTAAACAAACCTATAATGCAATTATCTGTTAAAATCAGCCTCTTAAGCTTTTTTTCTGAATTCTCTTGTAAGATGCCATGAAATAAAAGATGATGCTAAACACATTTTAGGCTGCAATCCTATTACCCTTATTTCCTAAAAGTAAGCCCCACTGAATGCTATGGCTGTACTCCTACTTCATAAGATACCAGAAATTCCAGTATTTTAACTTTGTTGGAAATAAGCAAGCTTGCTGGCACATGCTACCTGAAGGCTTCCCTCCATACTGAACTGGCTAAGCCATTATCATTACATGCAAACCAGGACTGGAAGTTATGGTTAGCACATTTCAATAAACAAATCAGGAAAGTAGCATTTGTGACTGGTTTAGCCAATCCATACTGGCAGGGAAAGTCACATAGAACAACATGCTGGTTGTTTGTGGTAAGCAAGAATCTTGGGAAATTTGGCTTTACTGTGACATGCAAATACTCCCAATGGAACTCACTTAAGAGGTAAGTATAAGACTAGAAGCATTCAAAACATTTTAGTCCTGAAATGGGCCATTCAAACCTCAGAATGGGCTTTCCAACCCATAACAAGTCTTCTGAAGTAGTCCATTTATACTAGCAACTCGTTCCAGGCTTGCAACATTTTCCACACCCCTACATAAGACTGAGTTGTTAACCTTTAGCATCTTTGCATATGGAGAGAAGGGATTTCTGGCAACATTGCTGCAGAAGATAGCTATTTGCATGCAGATCTTGTGATTATATTTCCCAAACTCACTTATAAAGTGGACTAGGAATGTCCATAGTGCACTGGTACCCTCTTTCTGTCTCTTCCACTACAAACGCATCACAGGGTTCATCTGAGCCATCTCCAAGATCTATAAAACATGAGCCAATAATGAGTCATTTATCAAGGTTGTCCAGCCACCTCATTTCTCATACGATTAAAGAAAGAAAACCCAGTTAAAGGAGGAGGGGAACCTCTACCAACCTTGTTGTTTCTACCTCTTTTTAAAACAATAATGCTGACATTTTAGCCTTGCAGGCATTTCAATAAGCAGCCGCTATGGTGAATCAAACAGTAGTTTTTTTAATCTGCTCTTGGATACAAGCTGCAAAACAACCCTGTAGGAAACTTTTCTCTGATACATAGGATTCTGCCACTGATGCAAATGTCCATTTAAGAAAACATAAAAGAGTAGAGGATACAGATGCATCTCTGAAAGCTGAACATCAGAAAAAAGTGATTTTCATTGTCATATTCAATAACTATGACTTAAGTATGTGGGAAAATGAGATAATCTCAGTTGAGAAAAAAAAACATAGCAATTATTTTTCTACTAAACCAGAAAAATATCTTCAAAACATAGCATTTGTGAAAACTGCCTGTATCACATTAATTCAACAGCAATTCAGCAGATAAGGAGAAACAACTTTTCCTTATATAAAATATATTTTTATAACATTTGACAATTTGCAGAATGCTACTGATGTTCTTAAAATTCCTGTATTTTGTTAAGGAAAGAACCATAGACAGGGCTAATAATTTTTATTTAAAATTTTGCTAGCATGTGATATTAAGGATATTGTACAAGAGTTTGCACTCTGTCATATCTCCTTTACTTGGTACTGGTATGTAGAGTGAAGTCTTATGAGCTGTTGGCCATTGTGTTGTTCTCCAGATTTGCTAGCATAGTCTGGATAGAGCCTTTATTGATTCTTCTGTTGCTTGCCATGGTTCTGTAGATATTCCATCAATTCCTGTAGCTTTCTGACTCGGTAATGACTGCAGTGCATCTTCTAGTACTAGAGGTTCTTGTAAATATGACACTTTTACTGCACAGAACTTGAGTATACTCCTTCGATTTTTGTTTATCTTCTTTGAATCAGTTATTATCTGTCCACTGGCATACTTTAGCATTTCAATTCTAGGCTGGAATCTCCTTCTGAATTTGAAGATCTTCCACCTCCTTGAACTAATAAGATAGTCAATTTGATTTCTGGGTATTCCATCTGATGATGTCCATGTACACAGGCATCATTTTGATTGTCAAACGTTTGTGTTAGTAATGAACAAATAATTGATTTGGCAGAAACTGCTAAGTTGTTCTACTATTTCATTTTAGTTTCCTAGACCATACACTCCAACTACATTTTCCTCCCTAATATTTTCAATTTTGCCATCTTCCTTGCATGTTTTGTCAACTTCAGATTGAACTTAACCATAAAACTTGTCAACTTCCTCTTCTTCTGCATCAGCAGTTGGAGCATAAACTTGGATAAGAGTCATTTGAAAGGGAAGTCTGCCAAGTCTAACCGATGTTATTTGGTCACTGACTGCACTGAACCCAAGTACTATCTTTGCTATATCCTTCCTGATTATGAAAGCAATATTGTCCCCTGTTTTTTATGTCCTGGTTATTAAACAGTATGCTTTTCTGACTGAAAGAGTCTGATTTCAGTCCATTCCAATTCACTGATGCCTAAAATGTCAGTATGTAGTCAATACATTTTATCTTTCTCTGTGTTGAGCTTTCCTATGTTCTGCTTCCAAATTCACATTGTAATTCTGTCTTTGCAGCTTCAAATTTCCTTTTACTGCATGGCAACATCAGCAACTCGACATCTTGAAGGCTTTAATCTAGCCACATCATAAACACGATTAATACTATGAAAGAACCTCAGTTCTTCATCAGTGGTATGTTGAGTACTATCCAATCTAAGGGGCCCATTATCCATTACTATATCATCAATCACTTTAGACTGTCTATCCCTGTGACTTTCATGGAAAAATACAGGTGTTTACCTTCTTCTCCTAGTAGAAGTGATGCCTTTGCTATTGTCCATAAAGTGATTGCCTGCCTCCAGCATTTTCCTACATTGCTGCTGCCCAATATGGGTACCCGTTTGCTTTGACAGGGCATCTGGGAGGGTCTTCATTCCTTGGGTGACCCTGCTGGGTATATATGCTCTTGGTGTACACTTTCAATGTTCTTTATTCGTCCTTCCCAGGAACACTCCATCAGCCATAATGAGGCAGCATAGCAGGATTTGAGGGTGTGATAAAATATCACAACACTTAAAATATTGTCAAAATAATGAAAATAATGTATGTGTTAATTGCTTAAATTAGAGCATTAGAATTACAACAACTGAAAAGAAATCCAAAGCATTCCAAATATCAGTAAAAATAGATTGAAATTAAATCTTTAAAGCCCATTTAAAAACTGGTAGAATAGAAGCAATATACTGATCCCCATATGCTGGTTGAAATTGTTTTTAATTTATTTTAAGACTGTTCGCCACCCAGAGTCATTTGTTGAGATGGGCAGCCATACCCAGAGGATTATATACCTACATTCTATTATCTCACAATATAAACTGAACTAAAAACTTAGGAAATGAAACTTTAGCCTCACTACATACAATGAGAGATATTCCCCAATTAGTATGTATAAATCAGCAACCAGCTGCAATTAAGCCAGCTCCTATGTATAAGGAAGTGTACTAAGGCAATAATTAACACTTGCAAAATTAATATTTTACAGATATAAATCACATTCCTCTTTATTTATGACTATAAAAGCTGATTCATCCAGTAGCTCCTCAGACTTATTCTGTGTAGGCATGCTCTCTTATGGCTCATAGCGTTTATTGCTTGACTCCATTTTTGTGCAAGGGCCAAATCTAATTCTTTGAATTCAATTGCTCTAGCAAGAATTTTCATAAGTCATTATGGTTTCATTAAGCTAGGTACTTTCAGCTAACACATGTACAACTTCTAAAAGAATACACAACCAGTAGTGGAACAATATCACCTTTTGTATTTTTTTCTGCCAGCATCTGTCAAACAATAACATCCACTACTGATACATGTAACTGAATAGATTAAATAAATAGGTGCTTCGTCTGCCCTTTCAACTATTTTGGATTTTAAATCTGCTTCTTGGAATTTAGGACTCAGGAAACAAAGGAAGGGTTATGTAAGAGTGATTAATTTTAAACTCGGAGCAATATGTTCTAACTATAGAAAATGATGAATAATTAATTCTAGACAGCTTCTTATGAAGATTTCCTATACATTTTGCTTGTTTATTGTAACATATTTTAAGAGTTTCCAATAGCTGTGCAATTGTTTGAATAGTGGTATCTGTCTCTTCCTAACTCCCCTTCTTTTGTTTGTTCCAAGCCTGAAGATCTTATCAGCTAGAGTTGAGACAAAAGGTGACCCCCTTCATCCATAGCATCCTCTGTAACATGATCTACCTTCCTTTTGGTAACACGCGATTGGCACTGCAACAAAATACCTGGGGCTCAATTTTCCCCACTTTCAGCAAATGGAAAAGATGATCAAACTCCTTATATAGTTCAGTATTATTCTTATAAAGTAGCACAATAGCCCCTTTAAAGGCAAAGTAACACAAGTCCTCCCTACCAAAAATAAGCTTCAGCTCTCCTCCGTAACAAAATGTCTTATATTTAGCTAGCCAACATAACCGGATAGTATTGGTAATTTTCAACAGTTCTGAAGTGTATCCGAGTCACCATATTCTGCTATGAAACAGGCTGAAAATAATTCAAAGGCAAAGAAGCCTTCAAAACACACTCTCCCCACTGAAAAGCAGGAGAAACAGAAAATCCAGGCTCTGCCCATCTTCTTTTCACTGTCTCGCCTACTGCAACCTTTGGCCTCTCAACAAGTGTTCAGAATGACCCCTGACTGCTAATATGTTGCTTGCCCCAATCTATAATGTAAAAGAACATACTTAACATGAATAGGCTTCAAAGAAAAGTGGCTATTTATATACTACATTATTATTGTATTCATCAATTATACTTTATTTTCTTCACTTCTTTGGACTTTGATTCCTTTAGCAACATACCTGCATGGCCCAGTGACTGTTTAAGTGGGAATTTTGTATGTGGATGGACTGTATTTTATTCTTTTGTTAATGATATATATGGAGTATGTGCAGTTGTTCTAGGTGTTAATATGGGCCAGGAGTCTGATCAGGCAAGGCACTGCTTATGTTCCCATGTTACAGTGAGAAATCTAACACAAGTGGTAAGCCATAATGTAGTTTGTTTGACTTTGACTTAGCACAGCAACTAAGTCCAGCCACTGTAGTTTAGTTTATGGCTTAACACAAAATTTGAACCCAGCCAGTTGTGATTCCTGTGTAGTATGATGAGTGAACTCTGCTAATTTAGAATTTTGTACTCTTTATGGTTATTGTACTGTGTCTTTATTTTGTGTTATGTTTATGAAATGTTATTAGTTACTAGCTACATTGATGTTTTCTTAAATACTCAAATAAAAGCTATGGACATTTTATCTGATAATTTTTCACATTGTCTTTTGCATTATGGCAGCCTCTTTGGGTCTCCGTTTGGGGGTAAAACAAAGATATAAACAAATGAAATGAAGGAATTCGGTACAGTAGTGATTATACCTGTATTAAAATCTTCCTCCTCTTCATGTTGGTAAGCTTGCTCGCGAATAAAATTTTTTCTATAAACACGCCCTCCAATTCTTATCAGCACTGGCCGTAATACTTCCATAATTCTTTATCTTCCAACAACTGTACTTGGCTGAAAGACAAAATAAAATGTGTTTCACCTATTTGGTTTCCTATTCATTACAATGTTATCAGTTACATGTGAAAAACAGTTCAGAGATGTCCAGTATAGGAAATAAGATGCTGAACTACAACATCCATCTAGATCCAACTATTTGGATCTGATCTTCTAACGCATCCTTTCAAAGTCACATATTTATACTTTCCTCAGTCACGAATTACTTTTGCAGGATGAGACAACGATCTCACTAGATCAGCACTGTCACCAACTTTGGTCAGGCATTAGAAACCTCAGAAACAGAGAAAGATGCCATTTTCAGTTGATTATCAAAATCAGAAATGTATTGCATCTGAACAATGATGCTCAGATCCTTTACCTTCCTAGGTTAATTAAAATATTATTGGTGCCTGTTATCTGGGTCAGATTAAATAAAAACTGAAAGCTGCAGAAGTTCTGTCCTTGCACAACACAAAGTTTATGACACAGAAAAAAAAGAAGTGTGTGTGTGTGTCTGTAATATAGGCAGTTTTTTCCATCCTGGTGTCCTCCAGATGTGTTGGATTTAAACTTCCAAATCTAACATCAGGAGGATACTAGGGAAAGCTGATCTAGGTGGCTAGATGCCAAACAGCATAATATTCCTGTTCTTTCAAATAGTTCTTTAAGAGGACATTTTGGTAGATACTTATATAATGCAAGAGTAAGAAAAGTGGTGCCAGCCAAAATTCTACTACTGAATTACTGAGAACTGCAAAATGTTTGATGTTGTATTAGAAATAGGAGAAAGGTAATTTGAAGTTGCAATCTTGTACGTATTGCAAAACAGCACATTCATTGTGACAATATTAAGTTAGTAAGCTTATTAATTCTTTGAACAGTTATGCTCGGTAAGGAAGGACAAAACATTCTGATTTTTTAAAAATTGCAAAGTTGTTTTTGTGTATCATCTAAGTGTGGTAGGTTTATATTATTTAGAAAGGCCTCTATATCCTCATTTGATATATTCTCTGGTTTGCTATATAATTCTGAATAAAATTTTAAAAATTGAGAATTTAAATCCTTTGAAGTTTTATATATTACATCTCTTTCACCCCTAATAATTGGAATAACTGCCTTTTTCTTTTTTTTTGCTTTAAGCAATTAGCCAAAATTTTACTGGGTCTTTCACAATTCTCCCAATATCTCTGTCGTAAGCATGTGAGCATGAATTCTGTCTGCTGTGATATTATAGTAAGTAACTCATATTTCCTCTTTTGTATTTCTCTGTACAAGGTAGAAGATGAGTGTCAAATCATCTGTGCCCATAAATGTTTCAATTCATCTTTCAAATTGTTTTCCTTTTTATCTTTAATCTTATTTTTATATGATGCATAAGCAATAATTCAACCCCGGATATAAGATTTATATGCTTCCCATTCAAAAATTCAGGCACTTAATGTTTCTGAATTCGAATCATAGTATTGCAAAATCTCTACCTGCATTTGTTGTACAAATTCTTTATCATTCAACAAGGAAACACTGAAATATCAATTTCTCAATACCTTAACCGGTTTCTGAAACACACAATTCAAAATAATTGCACTATGGTCTGGTATATAACAAATGTCAATTGTTTGTTTGATGTTTGATAATATAGAGTTGATGATAGTAAAAAATAATCAAACCTAATAACTTGAATAAATGTATATTCTCTTTTAGTTGGGTACCTCAGACACCAAGGGTCTATTAAATTCAATTCTTCCATATAGGTCTTAATTGTTTCCCTCACTAATGATTGGGGTTTTTTGTACCAGTGTATTTCTATCAAGCTCATGATACAAGATTTCATTAAAATCCCCTCCTATTATCACTTTAGCATAATTGCACTCATTCAAATTTCAAAAACATTCATAAAACATAATAGGAGAATCTAAATTAGGCCCATAAACATTAACCATAGCTATTACAGTCCTTGCTATTTTAGCACATAAAATTAAATAACGCCCATTCACTTCAGTAATAACCTGTTGTACATCAATTGGAAATCCTTTTTGAACCAAAATGGCCACATCTTTAGCTGTTGTTGAAATATCTGTGAGATAAACCTGTCCCACGCAATCCTTCATTAATAAAGATGTAGTCTGTTCCATTAGATGAGTTTCCTGTAGATAAGCAATATATGTCCTTAACAATTTTAAATATGCTAAAGTTAAATTTTGTTTCTTAGATTCTCGCAGCCCTTTTATATTTAGACTAACCAACTTCATTAGTTTTATTTTGGCCCACTTATCAAATCAATATTCCCCCAATACTAATTCATTTTATAACCTGTACCATTTAACAACTATCTAGTAACAAACTTTTCTATGTTTAAATATTTATCATATTTTCTAATATTGCTCACAGATGTAGAATTTATTGGACTCTACTACATTTGTATAGAAAAGGACTGTCTAAGCATTTTGTTGGAGGCATAACAAGCTTTAAAACACATGTTTTTACAATGTCCTATACTTACTAGGTTTTGGGAGAAAAGAGTGGACCATATAAATGTGACTGTGTGACAAAAGCTAAAAATTTCAGAGGATAATATTCTCCTGAATTACATACCTAGTACATAGAATTTGACGACTGGACAAGGTAAATGGATTCTCTGTGCCCTTACTATGGCCAAAAGACTGATATTGCAACATTGGACAGATAAATGTATGGCCCCATTCACTCAATGGATTGAAGACCTGATTGGACTTGCCACTTATGAGCTGATTGCCTATAGACATCTACTTTGTACGGACAATTATAATGAAATATGGGATTCATTTATACAAAATACAGTAGGGTAAGAAAAAGCATGATAGTTATATAATAGTATTAGAAATAAACATATATACTATATATAATTGTAACTGTTTACTGTTGTAACAACATATTATACTTTATATTTTTATTTATTTCTGTTGTATCTTTTCCACTTATTTTTTAAGCAATACTTGTTATGCAATTTTTTGATAATGTATATATCTTTGTGCTTTGTTCCTTTTTGTTTTGTTTTGTTTTTTTCTGTTATTATTAAAATAAAAATTAAAAAAATTAAATTTGGGGGATGGAAGAAAAAGAGACTGAACAGAAGACTGGGTTTCCCAGCAAAAACATCAAGGACCAATGCACATATAAGGGTCACAATTCAAAGACCCAATGTATATCAATTTATTTGCAACACATTAGACTTTTCAATATATTTCTTAACCATATTGCCCAAGTAGAATATCCAAGCATGGAGTCAGTAGGATTGCTGGATACCAGATACTGGAAAAACATAACTGAGAGAGGTCATTACCTTTATATTCTGCTTTTTGAGATTCCAGAGGCAACTTGGGGGCCAGTCATTGTGTTTAGAAACCAAACATAGGACTTCATATAATGGTCTAAATAAGCAAGGCAATTCTTCTGTTGTCACCCCTGTATTTCTTAAAAGAAGAGGACTTACAAAGACTGTTGTAATGGTATGTGGGAATGACCTTGGGAGACAGGGGAAAGAGCCACAGCTAGGGGAACAATTGGATAAGAGGCAGCTTAGCCCGCAGAAGGAATGGGGGTGTAGCAAACTTCCCAGAAAGGACCCTCCCAAGTTTCTTGGGCTGTAAAGGCAATGGGGGATAAATGTACTTTCAGACTTGTAAGGTTCTGTTACTGTGACCTTACAATAAAGTAGAATTAGTTCATCTGGAAATGCTTACTGTTTGGACTACCTCACAAGGCTGACAATACCTCCTCCCCCTGCGATCCAGCAGGCGTCCACCCTGTTAGTTTTCCAGAAGTTGGCTTTTCCCCCAAGCATTGGGATCAGATGAAGCTGAAGCCCAGTGACAGTAGTTATCGTTATTGAGGAGTGTTGCTTGAGGGCACTGTTTTTCTTTTTTTGATGTTGGTTTTTTATTGTCATAAGGCTGACAACTGCCTTGTGGCTATGTTCACATAGCATGACACACAATCACAAATTAATAATAATAATATGCATTGACAAAATCACCATCAGTCAACAGCAAAAGGCAGCTTTACTTGGAACAGCTTACATCCTGTGACAATACATTTAACACCATCAAACAACAACATCTGCCTATCCCAGGTCCTTGGGAAGGATAGGTGGATAAAATTGCCAAATCCAGTCTAAACATCTGGATGACTATGCAACCAACAATAATAATTACTGTAAAAATTTTTAGCACAGATATAGCAATGGAATTTGGCCTAGAGAAATGTGCTACAGTAGCAATAAATCAGGGTAAAATCACAAACAGTAATGGAATTGAAATGCCAAATGGCCAAACCATCAGGAGCCATCATGATGAAGCCTAAAAGTATCTGGGCATTTTACTGTTGGATAACATCAAGCATGGCCAAATTAAAAATGTGATCAGTAAAGAATATATTCAAAGAGTGAGAAAATAGTTGAAGACAAAACTGAATGGTGAAACATCATCAAAGCCATCAATACCTGGGCCATACCTGTTATACAATACACTGTTGGAATTATTAACTGGATGCAAGTTGAACTGGACAGTTTGGACCGAAAAACAAGAAAACTCGTGAGTATTCACTATGCATTACATCCCTGTAGTGATATTGATAGATTATACCTGCCCAACAGCAATGGAGGCAGAGGTTTACTTCAAGTCAAACAAACTGCCAAAGACAAAAAGCATGCATTGGCTGATTATGTAAAAGAACAAACACTGATGCAAGTTAAAAATTGGAACTTACTAAATGTACAGGAAGCAAAACATGAATATCGAGATAATGTAATAAAAATACAAAGGCTGGCAAGGAAGAGCATTACATGGTCAATTTCTATAAAAGATCAAGGAGAAAGCGGATAAAGATAAAACCTGGTAATGGCTTACAACTGAAACATTAAAAAAAGAAACTGAAGGTTTGATTTTGGCTGCTCAAGGGCAACCTATTTGAACTAATGTAATCAAGGCCAGAATTTTTAAAAAATCATCCAATGATTCAAAGTGTAGATTGTGCGAAGAAGCAGGAGAAACAGTAGATCATATACTCAGCTCATGCAAGAAGATTGCACAAACTGCCTATAAACAATGACATTACACAGTCACCAAAATGATTCAATGGAACATCTGTAAAAATTATCATTTGCCAGTAATGAAAAAATTGGTGGGAACATACAGTTGAAAAAGTAGTCAAAAATGAGCAGGTTAAAATATTGTGGAATTTCCAAATACAAACTGATAAAGTCTTGGCACATAACACACCAGATTTAACTGTGGTTGAAAAGAAGAAAGTGTGAATAATTGATGTGGCAATACCAGGGGATAGTAGAAGAGAAGACAAAGAATTGGAGAAGATCACAAAGTATCAAGATCTGAAAACCGAAGTTGAAAGATGATGGCATAAACCAGCAGCAGTGGCCCCAGTGGCTATTGGCACACTGAGCGCCATACCAAAAAGCCTTGGACGGCACTTAAAAAATCTGCGCATTGACAGAATGTCCACCTGTCAATGACGTAAAGCTATGCTACTTGGATCCAGACATATACTACGCTGATACCTTACGCCATCCTAGCTCCTTGGGAAGAACTCGATGCGAATGAAGGCCAACACCAGCTAAAGAACTGGCAGCTGTGATTTCACACTGTTGTGTATAATAATAATGATAACGATAATGATAATTTATTAAATTTATCTGCTGCCCAGCTCCCGGCGACTCTGGGTGGTAAACCAAACGTTAAGCTAGTCTGCTGTGCAAACCCAGCCAGTGCGAATAGTTTGGGACAGAGGGTGCAGGGTGAACCCAGACAACTGAGTTAACTAGGTCGTTGTTATTCTCGGACCAGGCTTTTGGGCAGACCCAGTAAGCAAAAGGCCTTTAGCCAACTACCAAGTTCATCCAAACACAGAACGGGGGAGAAGTGACCCCAGAGCTCGGACACGGGAGACAGCATTTCACACTCTCTCTCTCTCTCTCTCTCTCTCTCTCACTCACACACACACACACCCAGTCCTGGATGGAGGGAACATGCTCTTTCCGGGGAGACCGTTTTGGGTGGGTTTATTTCGGATCCACCCATTCCGCAGCTGAGCGGCGCGCGGGGCGCTCTGCGCTCCTGCTCACCCCGCTGCGGACCTTCTTCCCGCCCGCAGGATGGGCAGCGGGTGGGCGCAGCGTGCTCAGAAGACCTTTCCCCACGGAGGCGAAGCCGCAGAGCTGGAAACAACCTCGGCCCGCCCCGCACTGCAGTTTGATCCACTCGGGCAGCTCCAGCGGCGCACGGCGAGGAACGGGCGCCCGTCCCCACCTTACCTCCCGAAGCTCCGAGCTGAGGGATTGGCGCTATCAGGCAGACGTGCCCTGACACACCCGGATGCCCACGGAGCCCCACTCCGGATGGACGCAGCGGAGCAACGATGGCTGCGCGCGGCGCCTTCCGATCGCCGTCGCCGGGAGAGACGCTTCGCCCCGCGGCTCCTGATTGGGGCGGGAAGGGAGCGGAGGAGGGGCGGGATACCGATGCAACCCAGGGCAAAGACTCGGAACTTCACACTTTATCGTTTGTATGAGTTTATTTTACAAATAATTTTTTTTTAGTTTTTATAAATTCATAATTTCATACGCTTCGGGCGCCGCAGTCTTAACCGGTGCTTGTGGTCGGGCATCCCAAGCCTGTGCAAGTTAGACGGGTGTTTACCTCAGGGACCCGGAAGTCCTGGGCGCCAAGCCAGTGTTTGGGATACCCAATCAAAATTCTCTGCTACTTCGATTGGGGCTTGTGGTATGAAATCGTAAGTCTCTTCTACCAAACTGGAGCTTGGGACACGAACTCAGACTGTGCCGCAAACGAAGAACTAACTCGCCCCGCAAACTCCACAACCCCAACCTGCACCTCTAAACGTTTCCGTGTCTATCGCCTCTCTATTTATTGGTTTTCCTGGCCACGCCCTCTTTTGACACACCAATCAGGAGGCGGCAGGGGCGCGCTTCAATAGCAGAAGCCATCGCTTGGAAGCACCGCCCCTTTGCTTCCGACCAGCGGCTCGATCCTGTCGGATTTGAATTGCTTCCGTCTCCGAGTCCCCCGCCTCCTCTTCGAGACCTATCGCGATACTTCTTCATCCCTACCGGCCAGAGCGGGACGGGATAGCCCTGGATAATCTGGACGCCTGGTAACCGTAACAAGCTATGTTGCCCCTGAAGCTTCAGGTTTCTTCTTGGTTAGGTGGAGCAGCAGCGGCACAAAAGCGGGAGGGAGGCACCGAGGGTCTGCTGCTCTGCTTGGCGAGGTTCCTCGCAGTTTAGCAGCAGATGCACGTAAGCGAATACCCGTTTGTTGGCTGGTGTGATGTGGGTGGGAGGGTTGGGGTTAGACACACACAAAGTCTTTTCCATGGTCTTTCCAAAACTACAAATAATCAGTTGCGTTATTTTGCTAGATTTGCAAACTGGGTTTTCTCTCTAACTTACTGGACTGGAGGCTATAAAGAATGGAAGAGAGTAGACTTGGAGGGGATTTTCTACCTTCCTGGTTTTGTCTGCTGTTTGCATCTGTTTTCTCACCTCCCAGATCTTTTGCCTTTTTCATTGTAAGGTTTGGTGGGATGTTGGTTGTAGCCTTTTGTAAGTGTTTTGGAAAACGCTCCGTTGAAAGTAGTGGGAGAAATTCTGTTGACTAAATATGAGCAAGGTGCAGTTCAACATATATGTATTTAATCTGGTGCAGTAATGTCATACATTAATATTTTTTTTTATTTGTTATGCACTTCTAAGTACAATAGAAGACCTGTTCCCCCTTCTTCCCTCCACACACAAACCATTTTAGGTAGATGTGGCTCAGAGATAGTGGCTGGCCCAAAGTCACTCAGTAACCTTTGATGGCTGAGGGTGGATTTGAACCAGGGTCTCCTCAGTGCTGGTCCAGTCCCTTAATACTGTGTTGGCACTCATTTTAATATAGTTGGATGAAAATATATGGGCTGCTGTTACATTAGATTGGTGGTAAGTAATTTAATGACCAAATGTTGAATTTCAAATTATGCTAATTAGGACTGATGAAAGAAGAAATTCAACATTTGAAGGCAACATATTGCATATCCTTGTATTAGAAGTTGGATTGTGGTTGACCTAGAGAAACTTAGAATATAGTAAGTTGGGATAAGCAACACGTCCGATCCAAAGCAAAGAAGATGATCCACAGTCTGGTGGCTATGCAGACCCAAGAAAACATGTATCTAAGATATGGATGTGCCAACAGTGTCCATTCCTACTCCAAAGCAGTGTATTGCATCCTGTTGATGCCTCCTTAACCCAAGCATGTATTTTCCTTGGCACTGACAGGTGAGACAGGTGAGCATCTTTTCTGCTTTGACTCTGGAGTGTTGCATATCCCTAATAATAAGAGTTTTGCTGGATTGGACCAAAGGTCCATCTGATCCAACATTATATTCCCACAATGATGTTGAATACTAATATGAAGCTTCAGATGGGACATAAAACTTGGTTACTGTAAGGGTGACATCCCAGTTCTAGTCCCCTAACCTAACCTAGGCACCAGCACATGCCCAAACCAGAAAAATATTCCAACTCCCACAAAGCAGACCTGGCCATCAAGTGACAACAACAGAAACTGCAGAAGTCTTGCCTTGTGTCAGTGCAAAATGTTTGAGTCATGAAAGCCTCAATAATTTCTATGTTTACCACCCATTGTATCTGTCCAGGTGGTAGCAGTATCTTAGAACCTGCATCAGGAAATTGAACTTTCTTGATGGATACCTATCTGGGCAAAAATGGTTTAAATTTTAAACCCTTGTCAGGAATACACTGAGCCCAGAATATTGGCACAACTTTTTTCCCCCTTAGATTTGTGTTTCTCAAATGTGTTTTAATTTGTACTCCATGACCATAACTTTCTGCAGTGCAGCTCACTAAGAAAAAGAGAGATGCCTCCTAAATGCAAATGTTCATTCAGTGGAGACCTATAGAAGACCTACTGACACACATTTTCTTTTATGTATAGTGGCAAGTCAGATGTTAATGACTGTATTCAAACAAAAAAGGTTCAAATTTATGCTGACAGTGGAAACATCAGGGTAGCAAATTTAGCCAAGAAATCTGCAAAGGCAATTCTTGTGTTCTTTGAATCATCTTTTGGGTGAAATCTGGCTCTGATTTCTGCACAGTCAGTTCTCTCTGTTCAACAACATAATAAAAGTTATAGAAGAATGGAACTCTTGTGTGATAGATGTTGGCATCAAACTGAGAGACCTGAAAGAAAAGTTGGTTGAAAGAAGAAACATGTATTTCATGGGCTGCATGTCAAATATCTTCCTAAAGACAGCAATTTGGTTTTAGAAACATATGCATTCTTTCTAAGACAGCTGTATTGCTTACTCAGAGAAATGGTCGGGAGGGGGCAATATTTTAGTGAGATATTCTCGTGGACCCTGATAGACGAGAATCTTGTTTGGGAAGAAAGAGGTAGAACAATCTTCAGTTTGTAATTGCAAAATCGGTGAAGCAGATGATGAATTGACATACAAAGAAATATGGTACAGGCAAGATAATAGAATGGAACAGGGAAAAAATCCAGCAAATAAGCTATGGGTACAGACTTTCAGCCACTTGGGAAATAGGGACATTTATTTCAACAACATTGGCTTCCTTGTAGAATTTACCACATGTTTGCCTGAAGTACAAATTTCTCATTTATGAATAATATTTGGACAGATGAGAGAAAAGAAATGAAATTGGCAACTCTGAAAACATTGATTATTTGTTTTACGTTACTTTTATGATTTTTGAGGAGAATTACTATACTCAAAACCTCAGTATGTTAGGTTTTTATTTGTTTTAGTAAGTTTGCCCAGGACTCTTGGGAAATCAAGTTATGATTAAAGGTTAATAAACAGGTAAATTCATACAATTCAATATGTCCTGTTTTTTACTCAAGGAAAACTGTTCATACTAAGTATTGTTCCTTGAAGTCCTTTCTGCTATGTCATTCTATAAAGGCTTTCAGTTGGTTAGCAGAGCCATAGACATTTACTGTACTTGGCTTGAAATAAAAAGTTTGAAGGCAAGTGGCTAGTATGGGTAAGTACTTCATGTGTTTTGTAATATAGCTTTCATAGTTGTACTTTCAGCTATATTTCATGTGCAGCTGGTGGGGTCTAGGAAGAGGGCCTTTTCTGCTGTAGCTCCCGCTGTATGGAACAGCTTGCCAACTGAGGTATGGGCTGCCCTCACTCCCCTGGCCTTCCAAAAAGGTGTAAAAACATGGCTATGCCGGATGGCCTGGGGGCCTGATGGGGGCTCTCATTGCTGGAACTGGCTCGTGGGATGATTGATACTGCTTCCCC